GTTTGGGGTTTACTCAAGCTCAAGGGTTGCCGCAAGGCAAAATTCTGCTGGGAAACCGAGCGTTTTCGTGAACTTGTGGCGCCAAGAACTAGCTTAATTTTTAATATCTGCTCAAGTTTCGCACTAAATGTTGTTTCTAAAAAGATGTTCTTTCGAACTAACATGGTCAAAAAATAATCTGGGCTGAACATGGTTTGCGTCCCAATTATCTATACTTTTCCCCTAAAAACTTTTCCCCTAAAAATCCGTAGAGAAAGTCACGCATATTTTGCACTCTGTTTTCCCCCCTATTTACTTGTCCATCCATTGACGAGACAAAAAAGGTCGATTCCTTTTCCCCTTCTCAAGAGAAAGTTAAAAAAGAGAGAGAGAAAGTCATGAAATATTGACAAAATTCTTATTGTTTTGGAGAAACATGGTTCTCCAAATTGCAGAGTCGATCAAACCGAGGACAGGACGAGAAAGCAAAGTTGTGTCGCTATTTTGCCCTCCTTTTTCCTACATATTCTTCTTTCCCCACGTTACGTGAGAGACAGTCACTTGTCAACGACTTGCTGCATCTCGACGGCTTTCTGCCTTCTGTCCATACGTATAATCGGGAAGGAAGGGTTATTGCAGTGCTGCGTGGGTGGCTTCAGTGGCCGCGGAAGCTGTGGTGGGGACATTAACATTGTAGGATACGGGGGAAGAGACGGGTTAATATAAGATGAGCAGATGATGCGAACATCGAACAACTGTGGGGACATTATCCCTCTGTCCCCTCCAACGCTTCCGCGGCCACTGCACAAGAGTGAGGACCCAACCACGTTACCCTGAGGACCAGTGGCCTCGGAAGCCGTGGGGACATTACCCTTTTTAGGATAGGGGTTTGTATAAGATGGGGAGATGATACCGACATCGAACAACCCTGGGGAAATTGTTCCTCCATCCGCGGCCACTGGGTGGGTTAGTAGGTGGGTGGGTTGGTTGTCGAGCAATATCTGGATTTCTGGCCTGGAATGTGCCCCAGATTGGACTCGACGGTTTGTCGCAGGCAATTATATTAGCGACTCGCTCTCGGCAAAATGATTGGTTGGGTGGGAGACAGTATAAGTTTTAATTAGCACAATGACTACTCTATTCGGGATAAAAGAGTACATGCAGCAAAATCCGGTTTATAATCGACAACCTCTTTTGTTTGCTCATAAACTGGACGAGATTTTAATTCCGTCCATTTTTCTTTGTCTTTTTAATAATCTCGTTTCCCATTTGGTTTCTGCACTCTGCAGGGTTTTCATTACGATATGTATGTTTGATTAATATGGTGTGTATGCATTTTCAGGGTAAATTCCTCTCTTTGACATCAAAGAATTTTAAACTAATTTGATCTAACCGAACCAACCGGAGTGGAATATTTGTCGTCATGTAGAAATAAATATGAGGCGGAAGTAGGAAATAATATTTCTGGTGGGACATGGTTTTTTCTCTCTTTTCTTTTAGGATGCAATTGAAAATGAGTAAAAGTTGGAAAGGCAAGTATTTCGAAATGGGGAGTACACGCAGTGGCCGCGGAAGCTTGAGGGGACGGAGGGGCATCCAATTTCTCAGCGGCACGTTTTTTCCATCTTTTCTTTTAGAATGCAATTGAAAACGAGTAAAAGTTGGAGAAAGTAAATGGGGCCATCAAGTACACGAACACGCAGTGGCCGCGGAAGCTCGAGGGGACAGAGGGACAATGTCCCCACGGTTATTCGATGTCCGCATCATCTCCCCATCTTATATAAACCCAGGCCTCCCCTGTCCTACAATGTTAACGTCCCCACCCCTTCCGCGGCCACTGCAGTCCACAACATATAAAGCAAAGCGGTACGAGTTTTGTGTAAGTTTGTGTGTCGGAGGTCAGCACTGGTGGAAGGAAGTTTAATGGGCAGTGGAATGATAAGTAGCTCTATTTGGTGACATATATTTTGCATGACTTGCTCTTCCCCACTTTCACTTTTACTTTCTCTCCTACATGAACATTCAAAGGGCATAAATCGACTGGAAGATAACTTGATCATGAGAACTTTTCACCATTTATTCGCCAAAAAAGTCGGAACTTTTACGAGGAGAAAGTTCTTCCGTATTATTTTCTCTTTGAAGCTACGTAGCTACCTTTCTCCTACCTTTTTGAGACGCGCGTGGGGAGAAAAAATGCTGACAATGGGACATAATTTGGAAACATTTCAGTCCTTCTCTTAAGCTCCATCCTGTTGTTAGCTTCATCCTATTCAGGGGCCGCGGAAGGGTGCATGGCGACAGCGGGACAATGTCCCCACGGTTATTCGATGTCCCCCTCATCTCCCCATCTTACATAAACCCGGCCCTTCCCCCCTATCCTGCAATGTTAATGTCGCGACAGCTTCTTCCGCGGGCACTGATCCTATTTACGGGTTACGGGCTCGGATAAGTTGACTCGACTCGGATAAAACAATTCTTCAGTTAAGTCTCCGATTTGAAGAAAGGGTAATATTTTTTGGAGAATGACGACTTGTAAAAGTTGGAGGGACAAAGACGACCATAATTTCAAAGGAGGGAAGAAAGAAAAGGGGTGTAATAAGTGGGTTCCGATGCAATAAATCTGCCTACTCGTACAGATTTGGAGTCAAAGGTACATATGAAAAGTGGAAATAGGAAATGGAAATTTCTGAAATTTGAGTTCACCAAGAAAACTAATAGGTGTCCCGGAAACGTTGGTATTAATAAAGGGGAAAGAAAAGTGGGAGAAAAATTGGGTGGAAATTTTAAGAATTTTTAGACATGGTTCCATTTACATACGTACATACGTAGTGTTCAGCTAATACGTATTAATAGACTGAAAAAAAACTGAAAGGTTTCCTGGCAGATGATATTACATTATTTTCCAAAAAACACATAACCTCTCAGACAAAATTTTATAGGAATTGAGACTGTAATATTGGCTGAACAGTAGAACGCATAATTATCTCCAGGGAATCACAATTTATTAAAATTTTATTATTTTTTAATGTTCCAGATTTTCACAATTTCAGTACTGTTTTCTAATTATTTTTTTATGGGTGGACATATTGCAAATTTTGAGATTGATTCAATAATACGTAAATAACATCAAATTTTGCGAAAAACAAAAAGTTATCATGTATTTTAAAAAACATTTCATAATTATTCTTAAGCTTTTAATTCATCAAAATCATTACACGTTAGGGAAAAATCGAATGAGCGCGATATTTAAAAAGTTAAATTTTAGACTTAACTTTTAAACACAACCAATTTCCGTGTGCCAGCCACACTTTGACATGTGCTTATCTTACACAAGTGACAAGAAAAAACCGTAAAAATCCATGATTTCTTAACGATTTTAAGTAAACATTTCGGTCATAATAATACATTTTTAACAATAAAATTTGCGGAATTAACAACAAAGCGCGGTAAATATGATGAGCACCATGATAACATTGTACATATCGTTGTTCGAATATATATTTAATATAATTCACTCACATTGTCAAAAAGCTAGACATTATTAATGATTGGATTTTGCAGATAAAACCGGGCATTTAATTCATTTTTCATAATTAATTCATAGTAAATTTCATAAGTAATTTATAAGGAATAATTGACAAATCGTGTGGTTATTGTGTGTATTGTGTGTAAATTTTTTACAGGTTGGTTTATTATAAATAGGTATGTATCATAGGTACGTGTGTGCAGTAAGTGAATGAATGAATGAATGAATGAATAATGAATGAAGATTCACAATAATTCATCATCGTCATCATTAAGAATTTAAATATGTAGGTGTGGACATACATTTATAATAATTTTATTTAATAGTCTAACATCGTTTTTTACAAATTTACTAATTTTTCGCTTTTATTTATTATGTATTACACGTACAAAAGGAATATTATCGTTCAGATAGATACTCACTGATTGCTTAATTTTGCTCTCTTATTTTGGAGGACATTTACTTAATAGTAATAATGAGCACATTTTTTTCTGATTCGATATTCGACACACATTTTCTCTTGGGGGATGGATGAATGAAATGATCATTATTTATTTCTGGGTTGGTTGATCTTGTTTTATTTAATGGAAAACATTTCATTTACTCAAATGTTATATTCGTAGGGGAATGGGACAAAATGGAAATTTAAGGTTCGATTGGATGCGGGGTTTGAGTTTAAATTTTTGTGATTTAAGTTTGGGTTTTTGTATGGATTTAAATTGCGATTTTGAAACGTGTCCGTCTCCTTGCATTTTTATAAAAATTTTAAATCGGAAAATCTAAAAAATATTTTTTAAAATCTTAGAAAAATCTAAAAAAAACAACTAGATCCAAAAATCAATAATTTTGAGGTTTACAAAGTTAGGAGGTTATAATTTTAATTTTTTTCTTCATGAGAAAATGTTTATTTTTTACTTTCCATTTTTATTTATTTTGTATTTATTTTCCCGTGGAAGAAAAAAAATTCCAACCTACTAACTTTGCAAACGTAAAAATTATCGATTTTTAGATGCAATTGGTTTTTTAGATTTTTAAAAAGATTTTTTTTAGATTTCTGGATTTTCATTTTTAAAAAAACCCAAGTAGACGAACTCGTTTCAAAATCACCATTTGCATACATATAAGAAGGGAAAGTTGAGACACACAAAAAATTTAAATTCAAACCCTCCATCCAATACCACCTTAATTAACAAATTAAAACTTCGCTACAGCCTACATACATAGTAAGTAAGTAATCTACGCAAAGTGATGAAATTGTGCGCTGGCTGGTTGTCTCTGTGAAATTTATTTATTTCGCTGTCTCTCCTTCTTCACCCGGCGAGGGGACACCAAGACAGTGACAAATGAAGACTTGATAGCTTAAGGGAACCGAACCCGGGTAGTATTTATTTCCTCCGAGTAATTTACGACCATAAGTGTGAGCTATGTGTGTATATATATTGTGGAATCACATTTTTCGTGAAGACATAATCTGATGCGCATCGAGAGTTTCGTATTATTCTGAGCTCCCTTGGTTCATTCGGAGAGAGGAGTTTAAGTGAGACTGGAGAGATGATGATGCAGATAGTCGTCGTAATCAGGGGCCGCGGAAGGGTGGGTGGGGACAGAGGGACAATTTATGTCCCAACGGTTGTCCGCATAATCTTATGTAAACCCGGCCCTTCTCCCCTATCCTGCAATGTCAATGTCCCCAGAAGTCCCTACGGCTTCCGCGGCCACTGGTCGTCGTCGGGGAACATTACATTCCCAGAAATAAATACTTTTGCCAGTTCAGCACATTTTAAACTGATGAGTTCTTTTCCGCATTCCATTCATTACTTTGGCGGCGAGGAGTAGTAATAAGATGACTTTAGTAGCTGGATCATGCAGTGGCCGCGGAAGGACAGAGGGACAATGTCCCCACGGTCGGCATCATCTCCCCATCTTATATAAACCCTCGTATCCTACAATCTTAATGTCCCCACGGCTTCTTCCGCGGCCACTGGGATGCGTCCTTTAGTAGCGGATTCTCTGCTTCATTCATGCTGACTTGACGGGATCTTCTCTTGGTCCACTTATTACTGAGGGTTGACTGGTAAATAGTTTTTAGTGGTAGTGGTAGTGGTCGTACGTAGCTGTGGTAGTTTTTCATCAAAAAATGAGACGGGGGATTAATTAAGGGGGGTATTTTAGAGTATTATTAAGGTGAAAGTGGGGGGGGCATGTCCTTAACCCGCCGGAGGAGGCGTCGAGCCGGCAGGTTTCGCAGTGGCGGAAGCAATATGTGAAAGTTTAATATCGATTGGGATCCGATCATCGTACAAAGTTGGGGCTTGGAGGATAATCCCGGCCGTCCCGACGAGCACGGCGAGGGTGAAAATCCACAAGAAAAGTCGGTCCAGCACCATCGCCACGTATTTCCAATCTTCTTTCACCTGTGAGGTTTATAAAGGATGAAATGCGGTCATACGAGGGGACGTTCGTAAACTTCGTAACGGAAAGGGTGGGTGGGTGGGTGAGGGACTGGGTGGTCACGTGCCTATATGACACGTGTTGAAGGGAGATGGACACGTGTTTAAAAAAATTTCCATTATGAAATTTACGAAGGTCCCCTTAAATGAACTATATCCACTTTTATTAAGGGACGTTCGTAAACTTCGTGAGGTGGCTGCCTGGGTGGTCACGTGCTTATGTGACACGTGTTAAACGGGGGTGGCCACGTGTTTTTCTTAAACTAAAAATTTCCATTACGAACTTTACGAACGTCCCTTTAAATAAATGAACTATATCCCGCCAAACTTTTTACCCTAATAGACTCCTCTTCCCGCCTTGTATGCTCCGCTATGAAACGGACCCCCTCCACGGCCTTGGTCACTTCAGGGCTGTTGATCCAGCACGACCGACTCCTCCCGCTCCCGCCTATCCCACCCCCGCTTTCTCCAGCACCATCTTCACCTTCCGTGTCACCCTCTAAATCATCCTGAAGCTCCGTGGACCGCAACAGCGGGTGTGATGAGGCGCGCGAGGGGGGGATATTATGTCCCGGCGGAGGCGGTGGGGGTGGCATCCCGTGGATTTTGCAATTCCCATTCAGCCCCAGGCCGTCCACTACGTCTCGACTACAGAAAAAAAAGATATCATGTCAAGCTTTCTTTTTACACGGATTTTGGAAAACGAAAAAGTGGAGAAACACAGTTTTCTAAACTGCATTTTCGACTAGGAGGAGGAGGAGAGGGAACTAATCATAATTTTATTGGGACTCTGGGGCAATAAAAGCATCATCACGAGAAATAAATGGGTTATCACTCTCCTCTCGCTTTCTCCACCTTGAACACACACACTTTATTATTGTGAGCAGTTACTTTTCTCTGTCTGTCTGCCTCTCTGGAGGAGGAATGAGACAAATGTAATGCAATAATAATACATAGCAGGGAAGGAATTGGAACCAATCAGTGGCCGCGGAAGGGTGTAGATAGAGGGACAATTTCCCCTCGGTTGTTCGATGTGCCATCATCTCCCCATCTTATATAAACCCGGCCCTCCCCTGTCCTAAAATACTAATGTCCCCAATATACCCACGTCTTCCTTCCGCGGCCCCTGCAACCAACCCTCAAAAAACTTGAGGGGTTTTGATTGTTGCTTTCTCCCAACACACTCACTTGGCAACAGATCACTTTCTCTTTCATTTGCCATCTTTAACAAGCCATGAGGAGGACGGGAAGTGGCCGTAAGAAGGGGAGAAAGTGAAAGTACTGTCGTCTCTGCCAGTGGCTGCGGAACCTTGAGGGGGCAGGGGATCAATGTCCCCATGGTTGTGCGATGTCCGCATCATCTCCCCATCTTATATAAACCCGGCCCTCCCAATGTTAATGCCCCAGATGTCCCGGCACCTTCCGCGGCCACTGGTCTCTGTCTCGAGTACTTTGGTTTGGTGGGAAAGAGAGAGGTATGCAGTGCACATATGAGTCAGGCGTTCATCGGTGGGTAGGAAACTCATAAAGATCGTCATGGGTGCGGGATTTTTATTTCGTAATTTACTCTCCGTAAAGACGATCGTAAAAGAGAGAGAGCGAGTTAAGGACGACGCTGAGGAGGAGGAGGAAAAGGACACTCGTGTGTCACGATATCCTGTCGATCAGTGGCCGCGGAAGCGGTGGGGACATTGTAGGATTTGGGAGGAGTGTTGCTTTAATTCGCCCCGATATCTACTGTCAATATTTGTAAACTAACACCTCAAAAACGGTGAAAACTTTGAGGTAATTTTTTTATTAGAGACACATTGCAAATTAGTCTTTCGCCAATTTATATTAATCTTGCCCTTAACTAATTTCTTTTGACTTTATGCTAATTTTCGTAAAATTGTGTCGGGTTCTGAAAAATAATCGGGACGAATTCAGGGTCCTTTGACTGTTTCCTTGGAGGATTTCTAGACAGGGTCATGTCAGTTCAAAAATTCTCCAAATTTTTTTTTACATATTTTAAAGTTTGGGAATATGCGCTATTTTTGCTGGGAGAGTTTGGTTGTCAAGAAAAATTTAATATTCTATAAACCGTCGTAAAATGATAACGATTTAATTTAATTGCAAATTAAAATAATTATAAAATAATTGAACTAGGATCGGTATCAAAAACGGTACGTAAAAATTTTTCGCATGCATTTATGACGTTTTATAGAATATTTTATTTTTCTTGACAACCAAGTTCTCCCAGCAAAAATAGTCCATATTCTCAAACATTAAAATCTACAAAAAAAATTTTGGAGAATTTTTGAACTGACATGACCCTGTCTAGAAATCCTCCAAGGAAACAGTCAAAGGACCCTGGGACGAATTAAATCAACACCCTTTATAACCAGGGCAACAGTGGGGATATTGTCCCTCTGTCCCCACACCAGCCTCCGCGGCCACTGTCCTCAATATATTTACATCCATACCTTGGCGAATAGTCATGCGACCGTGGCCCCATCAGATCCCCGATGCCCAACGCTTCTCGAATATTCCTCAATTGAATGGGGTCATGCAGTGATAGCGCGGGTCGTAATTCCAATCCATTACACGTTCGGACCAACATTCGTCCCCCGGAGCTCATTGTGGTGGGTGCCTTGGCCCCGATCCTGCATACGTAAAAAATGGGGGGTGAAATAAGTGACGATTTGCTGCAGACACACACACACACACATCAAATCCGATCTCTTCTTATCTAAATTCTGAGTGCACTCGTTGTGTCACTTTCCCCAAATTTTGAGACGTTTTGACATTTATTCTCGCCTGACAATGAGTGATGGAAGGTGTACGAGGAAAAAGGCAGTGTTTCTTTTTTATGTGGGAACAATATTATTTTTATGCGGGCATAAAAGTGCATAACATGCAGTACAAAAAATGCATAAAAATTTATGAAATTCGTATAAGGAATTTCATATTTTTAAGAAATTTAACGTTTTCCTACCCAGTCGCAAAAATTGCAATATTATTTGCACTTAACTGATTTTTATGCACTTTTCCGAATTTTTGCTGGGTGTTATTAAACGATTAATAACATTTTTGTGTACTAATTTCATCCACGTGTTTCATCAAATACTTAGGAAAATTGCAATATTATTTGCAGTTAAATGGTTTTTAACGGATTTTCATGCACTTGCACCCACTTTTCCCGATTTTTTCCGTGTGTTATAAAACATTTTTGTCCACTAATTTCCCACCATTGTTTTGTAACCGGAGAAACCCTGAAAAAATGGGGTGAAATCCATACCTACCTTTCTAAGTAATACTGGGGTCGTTTCATTACGAGGAGTCGTGGCAGAATGTGGAGAAATACGCGACGCACCCATCTGAATTTGACACACGACATCATCATGAGTGAGATGAATGAATGAATGAATGAACACGAAATTATTGTTATATATTTTATAAATATTTTTCTCTCTCGAGTGAGATTGATCCCCTACTTACGGAGCCATTGTGTGGGTTTGAGGAGTTCGGAAATGAACATTAAGTACGACAACCGTGACGGATATACTGAAATAAAATGCAAAGAGAAAGTAATAAATAGTGAGAGAGGCATCATTTCAATCGTGTTATGCAGTTCTTCTTCTTCTTCTTGTGTGGAGGAGCATCTATAGATCGAAATCAGCCAATTGGACCTCCTCTGCAGAAGCAGCAGTGCCATACTTTCTCCTACCACCACCACAATCACCACCAGTGGCCGCGGAAGGTGCGGGGACATATGGGGATGCTAACCTCGCAACGACGAAGTATACATATTTATGTATAGTATTCTATCTTCCGTTGGTGACTAAATACACAAATGCATGTGTAAAATATAAATTACTACCTTGGCACCAAAATTTCTAACAAAAAATGAGTACTTCTTTGGTATTTCGTGGAAAATTTGATGGTAAAAAGTAGATTTTTTCGATATGTTTCTAGGAATTTCCCCTATACCAACTAATGTTAAAAAGTGGATTTTTCATGTTTTTCATAAAAAACTCAAAAATTGGATACTGGTTGAAAAGTTTAATTGGTTATTAGGTGCAATTATAAAATAAACACCGTACCGAAAAGAAATTTTATTTGAAAAATCAGTTATGCAAAAGAGGTTAACATTGTAGGATAGGAAACGCCGGAGTTTTATAAGATGGGCAGATGATCAACAACCATGGGGACATTGTCCCTCTATCCCCTCCCCCTTCCGCGGCCACTTCCCACCACCACCACCACGACTGCTACCACCCGGCTCCCAGAATCCCACCCAAGTTCAACTATTCCTTTGAACCCTTCGAGAAACCAACCTCATCCTACTACTTTCACCACAATGCACAATAAATCATCTCCTTCACCGCAACCATTTCCTCTATTCATTGCACCTCCGTCGTCTTCTTCTCGTTGAGATTAAGCATGCTCCCCAACAACCCAAAGAAAAAAACGTCGAGCAGAGAAGGAAAAATCTTTCACGTTTTGGTGCAACGTGAGATCACGGTCTTTTTCCCCATTTTTGAATTGCACACCCAATAATAATAAATGTTGGGAGGGAGAAAGCTGCCTCAGTTTTTGAGTCGGGTTGGGTTTCTCCGATGTGGGTATTTTTCAGCCACTCGCCGATCAGGGATTGTTCATCTCATCCCGTGGACAGCCAGGAGAAAGCAACATGTACCGCTTTCCCCGTCCGTACGAGTGAGACAGAGACTTTCACCACCACCACCACCGATGGTAAAACCAGTGAAGAAGACAGTATTAAATCAGAGAAAGTGGATTACACAGCCATCCAGTGCTCGAGGGATCCTGGTTTAACGCTGATGCTCCTACCGGTGGTCGTGGCGTGGTTCTGGTCGTGTTACTGGTTTGGTTTGGTTTTGAGCTACGACATCAATTTTTATTTTTGTTTGCTCGAATTCTTTCTTCAAATCTTAATCTGACTTCGACGTTCCTTTCCTTTCGTGCTGATCGGAAGGTTCGGGACAATCTTATCCTTGTGCACACATCTTTGGATGGCTGGCTGGCTGTGTGTGTACCGAGGATCTGTCTGCTCGAACCAAACCAAACCACGGCAGCTGGAGTGCTCATAAGTCTTGATCTTCTGGGGCTGAATACAGAAGCATGTATTGAGCAGTTAGTTTTGTGTGGGTGGCTTGTCTATGCGGCCAAGTTTGAGGCTTCGTCTGAGATACAGGGGCCGCGGAAGGGGTGCATGGCGACATTAACTTGTAGTATGGCGAGGAGAGGGACGGGTTTGTATAAGATGATGCCGACATCGAATAACCGTGGGGACATTGTCCCTCACCCTTCTGCGGCCACTGTACTCAATATTTGTACTTTCTCCAGCACATATTACCACCCCCAGTGCCCGCAGAGGGTGTGGGGACATTAACCTTGCAGCATAGGAGAGGAGGGCCAGGTTTATATAAGATGGACAGATGATGCCGACATTAAACAACCCTGGGGACACTGCCCCTCTGTCCCCCATTCCCCCTTCCGCGGCCACTGCAACTTCCATCCACAGAGCGAGAGAGTTTTGCTTTCTCCTGCCACAATCCGCTGTGGAGCAGCCATATCTCAAAATCACTGAGCCATACGCTATAAATAAAGGAGATAAACATGATGATAGGACGCGCGCGATCTGGGATCTGGGCTGCCCTACGCGATATGGGTCGAGGCAATCAGGGAAGCATTTGTTATTTAAAGTATTACACCAAGAATCTCATTAATTCTCATCCCTCGCCTCGTATACACCATTAATGCACCAAGGAAGGATAAATCAATCTCTAGCCACCCGGGTAGAGAGAGAGATACACATAAAGCAAGCCGAGAGATCCGGTAGTGGTGGTGGAGAAAGTCGGGCATAATTCCGTGGCTGGCTGGATGGATGGGACGTGGAATATTATTCAATTCTGAAGAGAGAAAGTTACCTCACGGTGTCGAGAATCATTGTAAAAAGTACAAATTTCCCGAGGAGCGGAACTACAAGGCTGGTGGGAGGAATAATTTCGGCGAGCAGGAGGAAGAACACGGTGAGCGAGAGGAGAATGGATATCGACAGGCTCACCTGAGGAGAAATAAGAGGCAACAGACTTGAAGATGTGAATACAGAGAAAGTAGGAGAACAGACTTACTTTCTCTCCCGAGTCGGACGGAAGGTAGAAGACAAGAACGGTGAGGAAGGAAATCCCCATGCAGGGTATGATAAGATTTACGGTATAAAAAAGCGTTTTTCTTCGCATCGTGATGTTGAATGTTATGTCCAAGTAGGGTTCTGGAAGAGGGGAAGTTTTCAGGTAAAAATTTGTATGGTTTTTATTTTGGTTTAGTGTTTCGAGTGGAAGAGAAAACAAAAACTTGTAAGAAATGAGGGGAAGAAAGTGGTTTTTTGTGGGTAAATATTTCTACCTGGGGGAAATGCAAGGAGCAAGAAACTAGGGCCGGCCGATGTACATAGTTCATACGGCGGGGGGCTAAATGACGCGAATTTCTCATGATTTCTTTCAGTTTCTTGCACCTTGCATTTTTTGCATTTCTTGAGTTTTAGTGCTAAAAATGTATGTCGCAAACCCGCAAGAAATGAGAAACCGGGTGAAAGTAACCACTTTCTAGCACCTCGCATTTCTACCATTTCTTGCTTTCCAGTCCAAGAAATGTATGTAAGAAAACCGCCAGAGACGAAACACTACATTTTTCTTATTATTTACTAATCTCACCATCACAGCACGTATAGTAGCGTTCATTTCGGACAGCGGGAACTTCCAAGATGTCCCACTCCACGGACATATAAAAATCCGAGAGGTCAACTCCAATCTCGACCGTGTTGGAGTTTTCTTGCTCATCGATGTGCCTTAGGTCTACCTGCAAAAGGAGAAAGACGACGACCAAAATGGAGGAATTAGTTCGTGGTGGTCAATCCGGGAGAAAGTTTTGATTGCATTTTAGTTTTTTGCAAAATACACAAACACGATCGTAAAACTTCTATTTCACAAATTTTGAGCCGCATAAAAGCACTCTGATCTTGGACCGGTCGAGGATAAATAGAGGTTTTAAGTTACGTAATGTAAGCAGGACGACGAGCAGTGGCCGCGGAAGCTGTGGGGACATCGGGGGACGTTAAAATTGTTGGATAGGGGGAGGTCCAGGTTTATATAAGATGGGGAGTTGATGGGGACATTGTCCCTCTGTTCCGCGGCCACTGTCGAGCATGCATCACTTGCCTGGAAACCGTCATATGTCCAGCTCCCGAACTTCATTACACAAGTTTGTTCATCAAAGGGAAAGTACTCGACGTCGATTTCACACGAGGATTTGTATATGGCAGGCGGCTGAATGGTAATAATAATAAATTCTTTTAGTCTCATTTTACCCTTTCACTTACTTACACGACATTAGTCATTCATTTCTCTGCGGATGTAGAAACCAGGCCTCAAAATAGGAACTTTTTTTTATGAAATGCTTTCACTCTTTTCACTAAAAAAACAAGAGTATTTTAATGGGAAACGGAAGAAATGGACAAAAAATTCAACTTTTTTCATAAAAGACTTTCACTCTTATCACGAAAAAAAAACAAGAGAATTTTTATTTATATTTCTGACAGCGGAACAAATACACAAAAAAATCCACAATTTTTTCCATAAAATACTTTCCCTCTTATCACAAAAAAAATTATTTATATCCCTCCCAGCCGAAGAAATGTACAAAAAATTCATACAAATGAATACATAAGAAACTGAGGAAATTATCCATATATCCTTATTAATTATTCCATTCCCACTTTAAATACTTTCTCCTTTTCCCTTCAAATTATTTACGAACGATAAATTACTTCCAGGCGGTCCATCCACCCCATTAACGCGAGCGCTCTTTTTTACACGTATTTACCAGATAATTCCCCCACTACGTTTTAATGGTTAATGGGCCTCCTCCTCCCTTGCTTGCTTGCTTACCTTCCACCTGTAACAATTAAGAGAGCATACATTTATACCGCGAGTGACCAGTGTACATAAAAAAGTTCCAGCCAGAAGAACAGTGGCCGCGGAAGCCGTGGTGGGGACGTGGGGGGACATTAACATTGTAGGATAGGGGAGGGACAGGTTTATATAAGATCGGGACATCGAACACCCGTGGGAACATTGTCCCCCTCTGTCCCCACCCACCCTTCCGCGGCCACCGCGCATTGAGAAAAGAAGGAACCACTTTCTCCTCCACTTTTCTCTTTCACACGTACTTCTCCTCAGACTCTCGTGGCGAGTGCGAGACTGGACTTGGAAACGAAAGATTATAAGCTTAGTATTTATGGAATCATGAACTTACTCGACCATGCCGGAAGAGTATAATGTGGCTTTTGTGGCCAGCGTCACTTCAAAATTCCCGTCCGCACTGCAAAGTAAATGAAACAATGAAAATGAACTACGAAATTGATATCCATCCACACATGAGACCACTTTGTGTTGTTATTTTCCTATTTTTTAAGAAAGGGGGAGAGAGGTTCTCTTATCAACCGTGAAGGAGAAAGAGAAAGCAGTGCTATGTATTCATGTACGTTTTTGTTCCCGTATAAAAATACCCGGGTAGAAACATATTTGCTTTTTGTGTTTGTATTTTCCCTGCTTTTTCTTCTTCGAGGGGGAAGAAAGGAAAGGTACGGGCAAACATGGCCATTAAATCTCACCACCTAGTAATTTACCACCCCGAGAATGAAAGCATATTGGTTTTTGTTTTTATTATGATGGACTATTTTACCTTGTGCTGCATGTCGTAGGAGTAGTGCATTACGGGTTTTTTGTCAAGATTTCTCTCTCCTACGCACCTTTACCTCGTGCATACGCACTTTTCTTTACCTACGCATCGTGCGACTCTTATCGCTCCACGTGGTCATCGACCTTCGGGGAAGAAGGGTCGCTACATTATCATTGCGTCACGGCATGCAATCTTTTTTGCTGTGTCGTGTACATAATAAGTAAGTATTTGAAGTTGAAGGAGCAAGGTCTTATCAGAGAACAAAACGACCAACTAATTTCCGCACTGCTTTGTACTTAAGGTTTTTGTGGGTGGATTGGATGGATATTGATCTTGTGGTGGGCTTTTACTTTGAATATGTATGGTTTTACACTTACTTGTTGTAGAGCACTATGTCGGGCCGCCATATATGATCAGAAGGCACGTGGAGGCTTCGAACGCCTCCATACTCGGCTGGGTCCCATGTCAGCTTGTAATCCATCCAAAACTGAAAAGTGCACAAAGCCAATCACACATACATAAGGAAGGTTTGACTGGTTGGGAGTTGGCTCGGGGTTAATAACGAAGAAGAAATCATGATAATAATAATGACGAGAGGGAGAGAAAGCAAAAGCGTGAATTGTTCCACACTTTCATGAGTTGATGTGGGTGGAAATGGAAATGCATAACTTTACAATTTCTCCACTTTCTCTGATAAGGTAGGGAATTTATGGGTGTGCATTCATTGACCGCGGAAGCGTAGGGACAATGGAGGTTCGATGTTCATAGCATCTGCCCATCTTATATAAACCCGTCCCTCCCCTATGTTGATGTCCCCACGGCTTCCGCGGTCACTGTATTCGCGTATTCACTCACCTGCTCGACCCACAAGTTCGTCGTCATGATTTGGTTCTTCAGGTTCTGAAATAGAGAAAAAGGAAAATGGGAGTGAAATATTTTTCACACAAGTTTTGGACGACACTAGTCACGTGTACATATTTATATAGCATTTAATACGATAGAAAGTTATGTATGCTCATTAATAATGACGCTCACTTACACATTTTAATGCAAAGTGGTGTTTGCCCAATGTAATTGTTTTCCTTATGCAAATAAGCTTTATTTTAATGACTCTAGGGCCGTTTCCACAATAATAATAATAATAATATTCATGAAGTTTTGAACTATTATTGTCCTCCGTTATAGCAACAGCTTTTCTTGGTAATATGTATGCACCACTTACGGACATAAATCAACATCCATTTATTTATTGCACAAACCATATTCGTGCATAAGTAGTAAATAAATAAGGAGGAGACTCCAAACTGGGGATGAGATAAGACAACAGTCCAGCAAGCAAGCAAGAGGATATTTTGGAGCTGGAGAAAGTGCAAGGAACCAGTGGCCGCGAAAGGACATCTGGGGACATTAACATTGTAGGTGTAGGGAGGGCAGGGTATATAGAAGATGGGGAGATGATGCCGACTTCGAACAACCGTGGGGACATTTTCCGCGGCCACTGCACGAGAAACTACGGGGGAAGGAATACGCAGTCTACTTTTAATCAAGCCTGGCACTCCACATTGCAAATTAGAATTAAGTATAAGTTGGAGTGTGAGATGTTAATGGGGATTCGAGACTATGTATATGCGAAAATGTTTGGATAAGGTTTGACTCCCTGCGGACAACATTAGAGGCCTCAGCAGCAGCGCGTGGTGTGAACGTGAGAGAAAATCCAACACCAACTTTCCAAGACTGGCTTGCTGGCTTGGCTTCTCACTTTTGGATAATATTCCTCCCAACGAAGAATGGGGAAGCAAACCATGTTCACGCCGGGTTATTTTGGGACCAGGTTAGTTTGATAGAGCAACTCTTTTGAAACAATATTTAGTCCGGGATTTGTACAGATTCGAAAAATTTAGCAAGTTTTGGGCGCTGCAAGTTCGCGAAAAAGCGCAAATGCTCCTGTAAGGCACAGATTCCGCTTAAAAATTAAACGTTTTCGCGAACTAAGAGTGTCCAAAATTGTCGAATTTTTCGCAATTTGCACAAAACCAGGACTAAATATTGTTACTAGCGATTTGCTCTATTAAACTAACATGGTCCTAAAATAATCCGGGTTGAACACGGTTTGCGTCCCCATTTTAAGTGAACTCGTGGTGGTGGTGATAGTGGAGTGAAAGTGAAAGTAAAGTAAATGCTCACCACCAATATATCTGACTGTTATTATTGGGGTGGCTATTATTCCGCGACTCTGCTCCCGTACTTGAGGAGGATTAATGAAAGAGAGGGTAAAATAGTAATAAAATAGATCTCCGACAATCAATGGAAGAGTTGAACAATAAAATTTTCTTGCAAAGTTGTACCCACTTTAAACAAACCGACTTTGCGGAGAGAGAGAGAAAGTCATTAGATGATCCTATCCGAAAGGCCACGTGTGTGCGGTGTGCTGTATCTCGGGGGCTATACTATCAAACATATATTTCTTCTGGTAGGTGAAATTATGCAATAAAAAGTTGGTGGCGAAATCGATGGTCGAATGGGCAATTATTTTGGCTGATATGTTCTTGTAGCGCAAATCGCGTAGCATTTTACGCGCCTCCGATAAATTTGGTTTCCTATTCCTTCAAAATTTGGACTCGGCGCAGCCGATACCGCCGAAAAATCGGCAAAAATTCCCGCCGAAAATTAGTATAGGCATCGATCTCTAATGTACAGCATATGTACATACACTCTTAGAAGTCCAGTATTAAAACAATACCAAGCGGTGTTCTTATATAACTCTACTAAAGTAATACCTTGTAGTAATATTGAAGTTCTACTGTAGCCGTAACACATTTTTACGGACCGGTACATATAATTTTAATACCAAGCGGTAACAACTTTACTACCTAGAAATCAATACCCCTCTGAATATAGCATCTTTCTCCCAGTGCATTTACGTGTCTTGAACCTGCACGTATCTCCTCCACTCCTTCCGCCCTGCATTAATATTGTTAAGAGAGATGTTCCCTGTTCTTCTTTTCCTCTCGACTTCCGCCCTTCCGCTGATTTGATTATGCCGCAAACTTTATGGAGCACAACAGAGGAAGAAAAAAAAAAGTATGTCAATAAAATGTTGTCGAGAGTGCAGAAATGAAGCAATGGAAACAATTACAAGATAAAAAAATGTCATTGTGCATTGAAACCTGGTGAGTGGACGGACGGACGGATGTGGAGGCGAGGAGAGGAGAAAGTGAAACTTTTGGTGTTGCGACTGAGGAGAGCAGAACAGTGGCCGCGGAATAAGCTGGGGGGACATGTGGGGACATTAACATTGTAGGATGGGGGAGGGCCGGGTTTATATAAGGTGGGCAGATTATGAACAACCCTGGGGACATTGTCCCTCTGTCCCCACCCACGCTTCTGCGCCCACTGCATAAAAGAATGTTATACTTGGGTAATCAGTGGCCGCGGAAGCTGTGGGGACACGTGGGGACGCTAAAATTGTAGGATAGGGGAGGCCCTGGTTTATATACATAACATGGGGAGATGATGCCGACATCGAACACCCGTGGGGACAATATCCTTCTGCGGCCACTGGACCGGTGCGGAGGTGGAGTACGGAAAATATGTGCTTTTCACACCACTAACAAATTGGATCTGAGACTTTGGGCTGTAGACAATGTGCAGTGGGACTAAAAGATGGCAAATTTTTGTCCCTTGAACTATAGATCATTAAGGAGATTGCTTGCAGAGATGCTTTCTCCGGTCATTTTAAGACGCGTTTCGTTTCCGACGGAAAAAGTAAGTACGTATAATTCAAAGAAAACTTTCTCAATTTTGGGCTAAGAGCTTTACTTTCTCTTCTTCGCGTGGTGGTGGTGGTGATGGTGAAATTTTTGAAGCAAGGCGATCTCTCTCTCTCGCCCTTTGGTCATTGTTTGGTTGACGATGACGATGACCGGTTCCTGGGCACTCACACACACACGACTTCCCAGAAAATCAAGTTGTTTGAACCCGATCCAAGAGCAAACCTTCTTTGTTGTGCCGATCTTTGCAAAATATTGCTACCTTCCAACCTACCTACCTCGATATCAAAGGAGGGCTTTTAATCAGAGAGAGAGATCTCACAATAAAAGCCATCTCGCTCACTCGCTCGGCCAAGGCAGCCAACCAACCAACGTTTGAATCGGGTTGGTCTCTTTCTATTCTTCGCGTTTATTTAGAAAATCCGAGGAAGAAGAAGAAGACGCTGGTTTTGAGAGGAGGAAGAAGAAGAGACAACCAGGAGAGCAGGGGCCGCGGAAGGTTTGGGGGAATGTGGGGACGTTAACCTTATAGGATAGGAGGAGGGATGGATTTATATAAAATGGGGACATTGAATAACTGTGGGGACATTTTCCCTCTGTCCATATCCTTCCGCGGCCACTGCACGAGAGAGATAGGACCCCACCACGTTATCGTGACGACCAGTGGCCTCGGAAGGTGTGGGGACATTGATATTGAATGATAGTTAAGGCAGGGTTTATACAAGATGGACAGATGATGCCGACATTGAACAACCCTGGGGACATTGTCCACCCCCTTCCGCGGCCCATGCCCGAGGACCAAAGTCTGCCTAAAAAGGATAAGGCAGAACCGTGTAATATATGCGAAGTGGTTGGACGACTTGTCCCATCAATTCAGAACTCTATTCAACTCGTACGGAAAAGTTTGAATGTCTGGCCGCATGAAATTACGAATTTGTCTCTTCTTTCCTTAATCCCGTGTTGTAGGAAATTTGTTTTAATAAGTTTTTTTTCCTCCTACGCTGGGACAAATGACTGAGAAAACATAAATAATGATACCCGTGGTGGTGGTGGGGAAAGGAGAAAGAAAGTGGATTTGCATAAGTTGTATCTAATCTGACTTGTCCTGAATGGCCCATCTGTCCCTCACTCACGCTCGCGCTTGACATTAATGCGAACAGAGTGAGACTTTCTTCTCTCAACAACAACATCGTCTGGAAATAACGTTTATCGTAATCCAATTAGCCTGGGGTTTCGGAGGGAGAAAGTAAGTAGCGTACGGAGTAGATGAGTCAATCTGGGCGTCCTAGTCTCGTGTGTCTCATATCAATACGGGCGCAGTGGCCGCGGACAGTGTCCCCACGGGTGTTGGATATCGTATCATCTCCCCATCTTATACACTCTTAGAAAACTGGTATTAAATCATTACCATCCCGGAGTATATATGTGACTCTAGCGGCACTGGTATTAACGGGAATTACCGTTCAGTAATGAAAAATTTACCACTCAGGAACAATTTACTACCAATCGGGTAAGAAATTATTACCAAATCAACACCAGCACGGAGCATCTATGTGAATCTACCAGATTTTTTGTCCAAACATGTCCCTTCCCTAACCTACAATATTAATGTCCCCATGCCCACCTTGCGCGGCCCCTGTCCCTACGAAACACCTACCTCGCCCTGCTTTCACTGCGAGTTAATTGTCTTTGTCCTTTCTTGCTGAATTATCTCTAATGCGTTTAGGACAGATTTAAAGCCTTGCTGGCTGACTGAAATCAGTGGCAGCAGATCGCTCCTTTTCCTCCCAAAGCGTGACGCTTATTTAATCATTCTCCGCTTTCTCTCTATCCTTCCTTCTTAGCCGTCTTCATCCTTTTCCTCTCCTTCCTTCGTGTGACGCGGTTATTTGATGGGCCACCCTGCAGACTAACTGCTCCTCGAGTAGGTCTTCTTCTTCTTCCTCTGCTGTCATCGTTTCGTAGGTTCTGTAACTTCTTGAAAATCGATTGCTTTTCTTCGCAGTGAAAGTTGGAGTTCCGGGATTAAGGACGTATGTACGAGGAGAAAGCGGTTCGTGGTGAAGATCCATAATATTGGAGAACTCATCACACACAAATACCTACATAACACACACGGTATGGTCTGGC